GAACGACTCACACCAGGACGAGAAACCCCAAACGACTCAAATCACGAGGAGCGCTTTCTCTCCCTCCTCCTCCGCCTCGTCCTTCTCCCGCTCCCCCCACAAGGAGGATGTACAAGGAGGCGGGAGGAAGGAGGGACAGGGGAGATATGCGGGGCCAAACGGACACACGCCTGAAAAACACGACTGTCGGCATGCTTCGCATGAGTTGCTGTTGTGAGATGGGCTGGTGGGGATACGCGAAGCGTAAAGAATTCAGTGCTTCGCACCCCCCCCCTCCAGAGCGGACCCACCCCCCTGCAGAGCGCCCCCCGCCCCCCCCCCCCCTCCTGCAGCCCAGCCCCCCTCCCCCTGCAGAGCGGACCACCCCTCCCCCCCCCCCCCGCAGAGCAGACCCCCCCTCTGCAGGCCCCCCCCCCCCTGCAGAGCGGACCCCCCCTCTCCCTGCAGCCCCTCCCTCTGCCGAGCGGACCCCCCTGCAGAGCAGATCCCCCCCTGCAACCCAGCTCCCCCCCCGTCGTTGTTGTCGTCGTTGTCGTCGCGTCGCCGTCCTCGTCGTCGTCGTCGTCGTCGTCGTCGTCGTCGTCGTCGTCGTCGTCGTCGTCGTCGTCGTCGTCGTCGTCGTCGTCGTCGTCGCTCGCGTCATCGTCGTCGTCGCGTCGTCGTCGTCGTCGTCGCTCGCGTCGTCGTCGTCGTCGTCATCGCCGTCGTCGTCGTCGTCGTCGTCGTGGTCGTTGTTGTCGTCGCTCTCGTCGTCGTCGTCGTCGTCGACGTATTCGTTTTCGTCGTCGTTTTCGACTTCCTCGTCGTCTTTCATTTCCACAGGCACCCGGAGCGCCCCGGATCGGCGGCACTGGCCGGAGGCCACTACAAGAACACTTTGCTTCTCGCGGCGCCTGGAGTTCATGGAAAGGGCAATGATAATATATATATATATATGCACACAAATATATAATAAGATCACTTATGTGAGGAAGGCGAGGAGTAGAAGGAGGAGTAAGAAACACCATAAGCATAGGAAGAGGCAGGATAGTGGCAAGAGGAAGAGGTTGAGAAACAGGAAAGCGGAGGCACATAAGAATAAGAAGGAAAGGATGACGAACAGAGCATGCCCATGCCCACCCATCAAAGAGGAAGCAGAGGAGGCACACGAGCAAGATGAACAGAGACAAGTGCCACGAGAGATGGAAACATGCCAAGATGAAGGAGGAGGGGGAGGAGGAAGAAGAATCTGCGGACGTCGCCCCCCAAGCCGCGCAAGCCTTGCGAGTTGGCGAGGCGCCCCGCGTGTCGTCGCGCCGGGTCATCTGCGCCATTGGGGGCGGCGATGGCCGCAGCTGGGCCAGCCGCCCCTTCAGCCGCCCCTGCAGCGGGGGGAAGGGGGAGGGGGAGGGGGAGGGGGAGGAGGAGGGGGAGGAGGAGGAGGAGGAGGAGGAGGAGGAGGAGGAGGAGGAGGAGGAGGAGGATCAGGGGGAGGAGGAGGAGGAGGAGGAGGAGGAGGAGGAGGAGGAGGAGGAGGAGCAGGAGGAGAAGGAGGAAGAGGAGGAGGAGCACAAGGAGGAGGAGGAGGAGGAGGAGGAGCACAAGGAAGAGGGGGAGGTGGAGGCGCTAGAGGCTACCATGATCTCCCTGCTCGTCTGGCTCGCCGCGTCACGCACTCTGTCATAGGCTCACCCGCGGACGCCTGACCAGCACACCGTGGAGGGTTCAGAAGGCTGCAGATGGACGCTAACGATACACTCAACACTGATCGTGTCCAGGCCTATCCTGGGAAAAGGAGGGGCCTGACTGGAATGAGTGCAGGTGTACAGTTGGCGTCCTCCGAGGTTTCTGGAGGGGTTAGCGTTTTTGCTCACCTTTGTTTTGCGAAAGGCGCCGCTGGTTGTGTTCCAGTCGCCAAACTCGCTTGAACGTGCCTTCAGATTTTCGTGCCCTGTAGTTCACTAGTGGTTATGATATCTGAATCGCTGCGTGACAAGCTGCAACCTCAGCAGGGAAGCTGAGCAAACCAACTGCATGTAAAGTAAGGCCCTTTGCATGGGTTGCGTTGCAATGGTAGAACAGAGTAATCAAACGCAACTTCAACACACACGTGCCGAGATCAGCATACGCCATCTTGAGAATTGCGTCCGCTGACGCTTCCAAATCATGGGTTTCAAGTCCACAGATGTTTAATCCTGTCACCCCCAGAGGACGTCCGCTTACCGTTGCATTGTCACACCATCCCTGCCGTCATGAATGCACTAGAAACACGCGCGCGCGCTCAGGTTCCGGCAAGTCTCAACCCTAGACAAGCTCACAACTGCACGCACGCACGTACAGGAAATTGCTTGATCGCGAATTACAGAAGCAATGGCAACGCGGACCGCGCAGAGACGTATTACCAACAAGGGTCTACCCATTCAACTTCAATGCGAACCAGTGCAGTGCAGCGAAAGGAACGCTTTGCCCTGCAATGGCACTGCAGCGCAAATCATTGCCATGGAACGCTGAGGCGATGCGAACGCAATTAAGTGCAAATCAACGCGAAGCATTGCAAGGATAAGTGGAACAACGCAACTGCATGGCAAACACGCAATGAAAGGAACTCTGGGAGCCCAACGAAAATGGAGAACGTAGGGACTTGGCACCTGGACAGAAATCCTGATGGAATAGTGGACCCGTGGATTGAATCCACGGAGCTGCGTGAGTCGAAGTTTGCCGACGCGCGCTTCTGACTCTGGCGCCGAACATGCGTGCCTTTGATCTCCTGAAGCCCGCTTGGAGGTCCTCTCTGGGCCGTCCCAGGGCGTCTTCTGGGCATCTGGGGCATCTTGAAAACACTGTGGGCCGACACGGGGCCCTTTTGGGCAGACTCGGGGCCCTCTGGAACCGCATTCGGGTCTCCTGAAATACCTTGTGGGGTTCTTGGGCCGTCTTTGGGGCCTCCTGGGCCGTCTTGAGGTCTGAACTAATCGTCTCGTCGGATCTCCTGGGCCGCGCGGGGGGCCCTTCAGGAGCTATCCCGGGCTTCACTCGGGCAGCGTTGATTAGACCCCAAAGGCCTGATCCAGCCAGCCCCGGGCTTTAATTCGATCGTGGGTCAGCGTCAAGCCCTGACTCCCAGACGGCAAAACGACGAACGAGGGGCCCGAGGGGCCGTGAACGAAGCGAGGGGCGGCCCACGACCCAAGGCGAAGCCGAGCGGAAGGGACCGACCGACCACAGGAGGACCGAAACCGCGAGGGCCCACGTTCACTACCATCGTGCACCTCCCAGGTCATTGCTGCTACCTGCTACGCCGAGCACGGAGTGATGCCCCAGGGCAGGACGAGAGAGGAGGAAGAAGGTGTGAGGAGGGCGGAGAGGGGGAGAGGAAGGAGGGAGGGAGGGAGGGAGGGAGGGATCGGAGAAGGCCGAGTTGAGACACCGGCAGCTTCAAATCTATCCCGGGACCCCTCCCGCGGTCCAAGAACGCACCCCTTTTCCGAGCTGCGCCCAGCCATGGCCACGAGGGGGGCCCCTGTAGGCCAACTACCGCTGTCTCGACTGGCCCTCCTCTCAAGGGAGGGAGGAGGCGGCGGACGCTCGCTGATGACGCTGGGTCGTGCTCTCTGGTTCTAGGGAGGGAGGGAGGAGGGAGGGAGGGAGGAGGGAGGGAGGAGGGAGGGAGGGCGGGAGGTGGTGGTGGCGGTGGTGGCTTGGGTAAGCATCTGGTGGGGCCGCGGGCACAGCCCCTTTAGCGGCACCTCCCGCCCAGGGATGGCTGGGGGAGAGCTCACCACCCGTGACACCACGACCCCAGGACGGCCAGCAATACCTATCTCCCGTACCTGGGGGCCGGAACCCCAGAACAGGAAAGAGCTACGGCTACGGCCCCGACCTGGGACGGGGGGAACAAAGCGATCCCTCCAGGGGGGCCCCGGTGGCCTTCCGTGCCGGGAGAGCAACGAGAAACGCGGAGGGGGGATGAGCAGCGTGAGAGCGCCCGCTCACCTCCGCTGAGGCCCCGCCAGTCCGAGCCAACCCCGGGGCCACCGCAGGGCGCAACTGCGAGGCGTTCGGAGAAGACCGGAGGAGGCCCTCCCCGGAGTGCGGCACCCCCGCCCCCACCCCAGCTCGGCTGCGGGACTCGGCCCTGCCTGCGGGGAGGGACGGGAGGGGAGAGAGAGGTGCCTGCGGGGAGGGAGGAGGGAGGGGGAGGAGGGAGGGAGGGAGGAGGCAGGGAGGAGAAGGGAGGGAAGGAGGGAGGAGGAGGGAGGGAGGGAGGAGAGAGGGAGGGACGGAGGGAGGAGGAGAGGGAGGGAGGAGGAGGAGGGAGGAAGGGGAGGGGAGGGAGGAGGAGGGAGGGAGGAGGGGCGGGAGGGAGGAGGAGGGAGGGAGGGGAGGAGGGAGGAGGAGGAGGGAGGGAGGAGGGAGGGAGGAGGAGGCAGGGAGGAGGAGGGAGGGAGGAGGCAGGGAGGGAGGGAGGAGGAGGGAGGAGGAGGAGGGGAGGGAGGAGGGAGGAGGAGGCAGGGAGGAGGGAGAGGGAAGGGAGGAGGGAGGGAGGGAGGGAGGGAGGGAGGAAGGAGGGAGGAGGAGGGAGGGAGGAGGGAGTGAGGGAGGGAGGAGGGAGGGAGGGCGGGAGGGAGGAGGGAGGGAGGGGGAGGCAGGGAGGAGGAGGGAGGAGGAGGGAGGAGGGAGGAGGGAGGGAGGGAGGGACGGAGGGAGGAAGGAGAGGGAGGGAGGGAGGAGGGAGGGGGAGGGAGGGACGGAGGAAGGGAGGGAGGGAGGGAGGGAGGAGGGAGGGAGGGAGGAGGGAGGAGGAAGGGACAGTGGCCTACGCCGCCTCTGGCGCCACTGGCGCCGCGGCCGCCATCGCGCGCGCCAGCGCGCCCCGGCGCGGCCTGCCCCCCTGCGCCTGGGCGACCCTGTAGGGAGCGGCCGCCCCGCGCCTCGGCCCTCGCGCGGGTCGACGAACACAATCACGACGACGACGACGACGACGACGACGACGACGACGACGACGACGACGACGACGACGAAGCCCAAGACCGCCTTCACCGCGACTACGACCACCACCGCCACCAGGACCACCACGACCAGGCCCGCCGCCATTACGACAACGACCAGACCGCCGCCAGCACGACAAAGACCACCGTCACAGCAACGACGACCACAAGCACAACGCCAACGACCGCGACCAAGACCGCCGCCACCGCGAGCACGACAACGACCACAACCAGGACGACGACAACAACAACGACGACGACCACGGCGTCGAGGACGACCACGACGCCGAGGACGATGACGACCAACACGAGGATCCACGAGGACCAGGACGAGCTCTCCCCTGCGAGCCCCCAACCCCTTGGCTTTCTGCGCGTGCATCACAATCGAGACGTGTATATCCTCAGTATCATCCGCATCAACCTCTCCATAGTGGTCATCATGATCATCAGAATCATCATCATCAGCATCATCATCGTCATCATCATCGTCGTCGTCATCATCATCATTATCAGCATCACCATCATCATCACTACCATCATCACCGAGGTCATCTTTATCGTCATCATCATCACCATCATCGACACACCCGCCATCATAAACCGAATCCTCATCCACATCTCATCCTCACCATGGCCATGCTGGTCTTCATCATCAGCCCGCCACCCTCCTGCTCCTGTCCCTCACCCTCTCTCCCTCCTCCCTTGGCCGTGACCCCATCAGCCCACGCGTCGACGCCCCGCCCACACCCCCACGCGGCCGCCCCGCCCCCTCCTCCCCGCGTCTGCCCCCTCGATGAGGCTGGACCCCCCCCCCTGCAGGCCACACCTCAGCGAGACCCGCGGGGCCTCGGCATCTGAAGAATGCCTCGGCGCGCCGGCGCGTGCGCACGCGCGCGGACGATGCCTTCCAACAGGGGCGGCGTCTGGACCAGCGTCAGGTCGTCCACGCTCGTGCTGCGCGCGCGCGGCGCGGGGGCCAGCAGCCGCGCCAGGGCGGCCGCGCGGAGGGGGCGGGCGGCACGCAGGCGCAGGGCCTCTTCTGCGGCTTGCCCTCTCGTACGGACGGGGTGGGCGGCCCTCTTCTTCCTCGTGCTCCTCCTCCTCCTGCTCCTCCTCCTCCTCCTCGTCCTCCTCCCCCGCATCCCTCCTCGCACTGGTTCGTGCTGTCACTGCTGGCAGAGACCGCTCGGCTGTTTGATGTGAACGCTAGGCTTTCTCGGTCCCCAGGCTCGTGCGGGCTTCTCTCTCTTTGATCATGCCTTTGCCTTGCTTTCTCTCGTCTCCCACTCTGGGGGCTGAAGCCTTTCTGGGTCAAGCTGGCCCACCCGAGGGCGTCCAATCATTGGGCCTCTCCCGCCCTGTGCTTGACAGCGTCCGCCGTCGTACTCACAACGGTACAGCCGGAAGCGGAGGGCCGCTGCCCGTGACGGAAGGTGGATCCGCAGGGTAGCGCATCCTGTGGCAACATCGTCGTCGTCGTCGCTACCTGACGCCGTCTCCGCTTCCTTTCTCTCCTCCCTCGAGCCCTTGCATGCCCGAGGCCTTTCAGTTAGTGCTTGCACTGCTGGCAGAGACAGCCAAGGACGTGAGCCTCTCCGCCGAAGGCCCATTGCCCCATGGAGACTGCTCAAAACGAGGAGCGCGCCCAGCTGCAGAGCCCCAGAAGAAAGAAAACCTGGAGACGCCCCTCAGATTGCAGGGTTGGCCTTCGCCCTCGTGCCAGCAACACCAGCGGCCGACAGCTCCGCCACAGGCCGCTCTTGCAGAGTTGCCCCTCGTGCCCACGAGACCATCCTCGCGCGCTCCTGCCGAGCCGCTCGCCGCTGCCCCAGCGAGCTATCGGGGGCGTCCAGGAGGAGCCATCCGAGAGCGGAGGAGAGGGAGGAGGAGCAGAAAGAGGAGGAGGAGGAGGAGGAGGAGGAGGAGGAGGAGGAGGAGGAGTGGGAGGAGGAGGAGGAGGAGGAGGAGGAGGAGGAGGAGGAGGAGGAGGAGGAGGAGGAGGAGGAGGAGGTTGGCCGAACTTCCGCGCGACTGCTCCCGCCCCTGGGGTTTCCGTCACGCCCGTCCGATGGGTCGTCTGCCCGTGCCCTGCGGAGGGCCGAGGCGCCTGCCGAGCCGAGCTGCCTGTGCGGCGCCCGACGCGGCTGGGCCCCGGCCGCCGCCGCACGGTGGGCGCCTCGAGCGGGTGCGAGGACCCCGGGGCAGAGAAGCCCCGCTGCATTTTTGCCCGACGCCCGGGTGTCGATCTAAGGATCAAGGCACCCTCAGCAGCTCCTGGGAGCCCCAGAGACCACCAGACAGCGCCCGAAAGCCGCAGGCGGCCGCCAGGAACCTCGACGACGACCACAACCAGCGGTACCAGACCGACCAAGACGACCACGACGACGACCAAGGTGACCACAAGAACCACCTCCACGATGACCACGACGACGACGACAACGACGAACAACACGACGACGACCACGACCACGACGACGACAAAGACGAAAAAGACGACAAAGACGACGACGACGACGACGACAATGACCTCGACGGAAACTGCGACGACGACGACGACGACGACCGCGACAACGACGACGACGACGACGACGACGACGACAACTAGTACCACCACCACCACGACGACGACGACGACGACGACGACGACGACGGTGGCGGCACTTCGGGAGCTGGCCAAAGGCTTCGCCCCAAATCCGTTCAAGACCGATCCGCTGACGTCTCCCAGGACTCACCCTGGAGGCCACGAGCACCCTCCAGGAGCCCCCGACCGTGGCGGAGAACGCCAGAGCCCCGGAAGCCGAACCTCGAAGAGGCCACTCCGGCCGGCCGGCCGCCATCCCACCGGGCCCACGACGGCCGCGATCTCGACAGCGGCGACGGCAACGGCGGCGGCGGCGGCGATGCCGCGGAGGTCGGCGGGGGGCTCCCCTCGTGGCCGCGTCGAGCCGCGGCCCCTCCCCTCCCCCCTGCGGGGGGGACGGCGGCGCGCGCGCCCGCTTCGCCTGCGCGGGTCCACCTCGAGGACGGGGGGGCCCTGGCGGGCGGGCTCGGGCGGGCCCGGGCTCACTCCTGGCAGCCTCCTCCTCCGCCTCATCCTCCTCCGCCTCCTCCTCCTCCTCCTCCTCCTCCTCCTCCTCCTCCTCCCCCTCCTCCGCCTCCTCCGCCTCATCCTCCTCCGCCTCCTCCGCCTCCGCCTCCTCCTCCTCCTCCTCTTCTTGCGCATGCCGCCCCTGCGCGCTCCGCACCCGTGGCGTCCTCCGCACCCGTGGCCTCCTCCCCCTCCTCTTCCTCCCACTCCTCCCACTCCTCCTCCCACTCCCCCTCCTCTTCCTCCCACTCCGCCTCTTCCTCCCACTCCTCCCACTCCTCCCACTCCTCCCACTCCCCCTCCTCGTCCTCCCACTCCTCCCACTCCTCCTCCCCCTCCTCTTCCTCCCACTCCCCCACTCCTCCCACTCCTCCCACATCCTCTTCCCTATAAGTTCAACAGCCAACACATGCGATGAGACATCGTACTGTTCCCTCTCTTCCAGATGAGTCTGTCGTAGTTTCGTTCCGCTTGTGCCCCTCGTGCCAGGCCACCTAGTCTGCTCATTCGCGCGCGTGCCGTTCGCATCACGAGCCAAGCGAAAGGGGATCGTAAAGCAGACCCGCAACCCCAATCAAGAGGTTGAAGGCCGATGCTGTACTATGCCGCGCTGTACCGCCCAGACCGAAGCAACGGCACAACAACACTGTCGCAGCACATCACCAGCTGGGACGGCAACTGCACGCGACGGCTGGCCATCGTCTAACACAGGAGGGAGGAAGGGGGAGAGGGGGAAGAAGGAAGGCGATGGGCGATGTGGGAACGACAGGGGGAGAGACTGCCAGACGAACGTCCACAGAAAACCAACCTTCTCGTGCGCGCGTAGACCGCACCCTCCGAGTATTGCCAGTGGTACCCGCACAGAAATACCTCACGAGCCTGGGGCTGACGATTCAGAGTAGGACGCCCGACCAAGACAGAGAGGCCGAGCCAAATGGACGAGCACGAAGTGCCGAGGTTGCCAGCGCAGCGTTGGAAAACACAGAGCAGATAAAAGAAAGAAGAGCGAGAACGGGGAAACAGGAGCGAGTAAGCAAAGACTGAATGGAATGTGTGTTGTTGTTGTTGAACATTATTTATTCTAAAGAATAATTATTGTTGGGCCCCCTGGTGCGCGCCCCCCCTGCGCCGCCTAGGCCGCAGCTACATTTTCATCATTTTCGTGAGGAAGCCTCAGGTAAAACGATGTGATCCAGATCCGGTTGTTTTGTTGTAATCCGTTTTCCCTTGCAAAAAACATATAAAATGACATTTCTTGTTCTAATATAATCAAATTTCAAGAATCCCTTGCAAAAAATAAGGTAAAGTGGACATTCGCGCGCGCAAGACGAAATCCTTCCAAAAGCTTAGTGTTCGGAGCGATTTTAACATAAAAACATCAAAAAACCAATGGTTTTTCAACAAAAAAATGTCAAAATCTCATCCCGCGCGCTCTTGCGGATTCGTAGGAAACCCAACACTTTTTAAACATTTCTGTCAAACGGGCTTTTGCGAGCAACTTTTTCGAACTTCTGCGACAACGGTTGCGCACCTGCCAGGGCCATCATCCCTGTCAAATAATACCATGCGGGACACATTCGTTTTTTCTTCGCGCGCGCACGCCGTCGTCGTCGGCCGCGGGGCCCTGAATAGTAGCCACGGTCGTCCGCATGCCACGAAGTGAAGTGTCCGAACGTCATAGGGCGGGAAGCTGGGTGTGGGTGGTGGCGAAGAGTCGTTTGGAAATTTGGTAGAGCTTGAACCGGCCCCCCCACAAAGTGGGGGTATTGCCCGCCTCCTATGAAAACCCTGGCACTGGTGAGAACGGAGTGTCCCCAGTCTTAAATGATTGAACATTATTTCTTCTAAAGAATAATTATTGTTGGGACCCCTGGTGCACGGCCCCCCTGCGCCGCCTAGGCCGCAGCTACATTTTCATCATTTTCGTGAGGAAGCCTCAGGCAAA